ACTTGTGTCTCTTGATCATGTAAGCCTTTGCTTCTCTTTGCAGTTTTGAGTGCTGCCACTTAAAATAAGCAGGTGAATAACGCGGCTTCTAATTGTGAAACCTGTCCAACTTACTGGGGGTCAGAAAAAATGAGGAGAGCAGCCTACCTTTCAGTCAGATTCCACATTGTGACTTCTTCCATGCCATTAAATCCATATAGAAAAATGCACATCCATAATCCGCCAAGAAAGTGTCAGCCTGATAGTCCATTTACGAGTAATTCTGTCCATCTTGACAAGTCCCTACAACAATCTTTTACCCCACTGTTTCCACAGCTGGTCAGCCCATCTGCTCAACTCAGACTGCAGAACTGAGGGGCTTGTTGGTGCTGGAGGGAACCAGCTCTGCTCTCAGACTGTTGGCATCAATTTGGCTTCACAAAGACACTGATTGTCCACCTTGAGGGAGCCAGGGAAGAGAGGGTAGGTTTGCACTCCCCGGTGGGAATCTGGATTATTTCCGCAAGAATTTAGGCCTTTATTTGAGGCCTGGGCAGAGGAATGTTAACCTCTCCAGTTTCGGACAACAGAGGAGGTTCTGTTTGCAGAGAGGAAGCTTCTCTTCAGGCTTGTGTGACTTTATACCAAGAGTAAACATCAGAAGGGTGCGATGAGGCCAGAAAAAAGGAGAGAACAGATACAGCTAGAGGATGACTTTTAAGCAAGATCTTTGAAGGGACAGTTTCTGTTTATTCTTTTAGGCACCAGCTACTAAATATATGAACACATAAAATAAAAAGAAGCTTTGTAACAGATTTAGCTACTGTACCACCTAACTTCCATCGTCAGTGTTCTATCATCTAAAGATGGTATTGACATGAAATTCTCACCGATCCAATCCACACATGCAAAGAAAGCAAACCATAGATGACTGTAAATTATGTGTAATAATGCAGAACACACAGGGAAAAAGTATTGAGGCTGGTAACTGAAATTTATTTAATACTTTCTACTCAAGCCTTTGTTGGTGAGAACCGTTTCAAAGATCCTCCTGTGTGGAGAAACTAGTCCCATGCATTGTGACTTTGGCCCATTCCTTGGCTGTGTGTTTGGGATCGTTGTCTTGCTGAAACCTACACCCTCATTTAATCTTCATCTGTCTCTGTACATTTTTCCTTTCATCCTTCCTTCAATTATGTGAAGCATGCTAGTACTGTATGCTGAAAAACAACCCCACACTATGACGTTCCCACCTCCAAACTTTACTGTTGGTATGGTGTGTTCGGGTCATATGCAGTGACTTTTGACCTCCAAGCATGGTGTGTATCCAAAGAGTTTAATGTTGGTCTCATCTGACCAGACTATATTCCCACAGTATTTCTCAGGTTCGTCTAAATGTTGTTCAGCAAACATTAAAAGTCTTGCATGGTGAGTGTGCTTACAGGCCATGGTGGCTGAGTGCATCAGAAACAAAAACAAAACAAAACAAAAATACCACCCAGGACTCTTGAGAAGCTGCAATCCTCTATCACACAGGAATGGAACAACATTCCTCTCTCAAAAGTCCACCACCTCAGTTTCCAAATGTTTATGGAACATTAACAGTAAATATGGTTTTCCCCCAGTTACTTTCTTTCTTTTCATCTTTTTGGAATTTCTACAAACCTTTTTCATTGCTCACAGTTAACTCAGGATTACTCAGAGTTGACTGACTGTTGTTTGAGCTCAGTGTGTCACCTTTTGCTATCTTTTCTATTTTATTTACCATTAATTTAATACTTGAGTTAAATTTCAATCTCCAGAAACCCAACCTTATCAGTTCATTTTCAGTTGCCTTTTTTTAGGCATTTTTTTTATTGAAAGGTAAAGACGCTACAATAATACAAAAAGTACTGTTGTGCAGCACACTCTACATTTATTTATATTCATAGTATCAAGGGTTCAGTACCCTATTAATGCCAAGCAGAGGCGCTAAATAATCACAGTTGTGTAAATCCATGCCACCACATGGAAACACCTCTTAGGCTGTCTCTGTATCACACAGTGTCAACAGCAGTTGCACAAGTACTCTTTGTGATTCTCTGGCTTTCACCTTCACAATAATGATGCTCAGACTCCTTCAATTAGCTGCTCTTCCACTATGTCTAGCAGGTAAATTCCTGAGTTCTGTAGGTACTGATTTAAATATTAATGCTTCTAATAACTCCAACTGTGTGCTTCAATTGTGTTTTTTCTGTAGGGCTCTCATCAAAAACTGTCCATCAGAGTCCTGCTCAGATGTTCAAAGTGGCTGGAAAACAAGTCCTGATTAACTGCAATCACAGTAACAGTGATTTTTACATGATCCAGTGGTACAAGCAGTCTACAAGGAGGAATGAAATGACTCTCATTGGATTTGCACGATATGACAGTCAGGCTGTTGAAGGCCCATTCCAAGCACTTTATAACGTGAGCGGAGACGGCAGAAGTGCTTCGTCTCTTCACTTTTTAGCCCACGGCAGTGCGATATATTTTTGTGCTGCAAGTGAAGCACCCTGCTGCATCACCCGAGCGGTCTGTAACAAAAACCCTCACCACACTCATCTGCTGTAACCACACATTCTGCAAACACTTTGTCAATATCTGGTGTCAGACAGCCGATTATGCAGGATTAAAACAAAACTTTGAATGGTGGGGCATGGCATTACCAAAGACAGTTTGACACGTTTGCGCCATGAAAAATCGTCACTCTTCCCCAAACCCCTGCAATTCTGGGAGCCTGACCAGGCCCTGGTGTTCTTCTTCCTGATGTTCAAACAATGCCAGTCCTTAATTTTTCACCTTTTTGCCATTCCCTGTTAGTATTATCACAACCTCACTTCTTAACAGTTAGCAGAGCTTCATGAGGTTCTTGACATCGTGCTAAACCCCTTGCCTTGTAGCTACATTTTGAGTGCGTGCATGTGGGTGCAGAACATTCAATTCAATTCAATTTTATTTATATAGTGCCAAATCACAACAAAAGTCGCCTCAAGGCGCTTTATATTGTACACTAGATCGCACAATAATAGATACAGAGAAAAACCCAACAATCATATGACCTCCTATGAGCAAGCAGTTTGGCGACAGTGGGAAGGAAAAACTCCCTTTTAACAGGAAGAAACCTCCGGCAGAACCAGGCTCAGGGAGGGGCGGGGCCATCTGCTGCGACCGGTTGGGGTGAGAGAAGGAAGACAGGATAAAGACATGCTGTGGAAGAGAGACAGAGGTTAATAACAGATATGATTCAATGCAGAGAGGTCTGTTAACACATAGTGAGTGAGAAAGGTGACTGGAAAGGAAAAACTCAATGCATCATGGGAATCCCCGGCTGCAATAGACATAGGCCTATTGCAGCATAACTAAGGGAGGATTCAGGGTCACCTGGTCCAGCCCTAACTATATGCTTTAGCAAAAAGGAAAGTTTTAAGCCTAATCTTAAAAGTAGAGATAGTGTCTGTCTCCTGAATCCAAACTGGAAGCTGGTTCCACAGAAGAGGGGCCTGAAAACTGAAGGCTAGCCCTCCCATTCTACTTTTAAATACTCTAGGAACAACAAGTAGGCCTGCAGTGTGAGAGTAAAGTGCTCAAATAGGGTGATATGGTACTACAAGGTCGTTAAGATAAGATGGGGCCTGATTATTTAAGACCTTGTATGTGAGGAGCAGGATTTTGAATTCAATTCTGGATTTAACAGGAAGCCAATGAAGGGAAGCCAAAACAGGAGAAATCTGCTCTCTCTTTCTAGTCCCTGTCAGGACTCTTGCTGCAGCATTTTGGATTAGCTGAAGGCTTTTCAGCGAGTTTTTTGGACATCCTGATAATAATGAATTGCAGTAGTCCAGCCTGGAAGTAACATCTCACTCTTTTTTATTAACCTTTCTGACTGAAGACTTTCTGTTTTTATCTTCCTTGCTTTGTAACTGTTTGCCCTGTTCCCACCAATGTCCCTGTTCCCACCAATGTCCCTTCACGTAATTAGTGTAAATGCAGTCTTGTCGTTCCCTTTATCTTTTTCCTTAGTCATCCATGTCTGCTCTGGTGTTCTCCTGGTTAAATGTATGCTCCTTGTGCTTACTATAATGTCATCACAACCTCAACAACCACTTAGAGTGGCAGTTGAGGCAAACCAGATTTGTTGCAGTATTCTGACTGATGGTGTTGCCACCTTAGAATCTGTGACATTGAGTTTAGACCAGGTGTAATCACTGTGAACCAAACGCTTCAGGCTGCACTTAATAATTAGTCTAGAGTTTTTCTTGCTCTTAAGCTGCATCCACACAGAGAACAGTTCACTTACCATGCATCCCTTTGAAGCTGTTGATTGGTTGTTTGCAAACATTTCCAGATCCAGTTGCCTAGGTAACCCTCTAATTTATTTATTTTCAGGTCATATTTTGTCAACTTACAGCTTCTTACACTCTTATTGGTAGCTACTTCAATATCTCGCCTAGAAACTGAGAAAATGTTATCTTGGGTCCCACCCACCTCACGTCGACGGGGGTCATTTCATCCACAGCCACCTGAAGTAGCATAATGTCATTCAGTGTCTCCGGTCAGTGTAATATAAACACATCGCATATAGCATAGTAGTTAGACTTTAATTTATATATATGTATTTGTGTATTTATACACTGAAATCAAACATTACATTGTAATCTTTTTTTTAACCATGTGCCTGTATTAAAAAAACCAAAAACAAGCTTGGCTAGTTTAGTATTATTACTAATAAATATGTACAGTGGCCCTGACAGCTCAAAATGGTTTATACTGAACAATGACTCATCTATGATTCTGTCCTTCCTCTGCTCATGAGGTGGCAGCACATCTTTACATACTTACTGAACTAATAGATCATGGCAGACAGGAGAATGTCACCTCCCACTTTAAGACTTTCCGAGTATCAAGGATGTGGATGAACAGTATGACTGCAGATTCACTGAGAAAAACAGAATTTGACCACATCAGCTGCACAATAACTAAATACTTTAAAATACCCAAGAATGAAAATTTTATTCTTGATTCTGATTCATAATATTCATTTGGTTTCAGGTAATGGCGTGAAAGAGGGATATTTTTGGAATAACCGCTGCCTAAAGCGCACACCTTCTTCTTATTGCTGTGTGTAAAGTATTTTATGGTGTTCTTTGCTGTTTCTTTCACAGGTGTCTCACTCAGTGACCAGGTCCACCAGACTCCAGCTGATATGTGCAAAAACCCAAATGAGACAGCCACACTCAGATGTTTGCACACCATTTCCACCTATAACAGGATCCTCTGGTACAAGCAGTCACAGGGTGGACAGTTACAGCTGCTGGGATACATGTGGGGAAGCCGTCCCACTCTAGAGGCCAATGTGTCTGCAACCTTGGATGGTAGTGCAGATGAGAATAAAAACTGCACCTTAACAATTGAGAAACTCCAGCAGGACAGCAATGCGGTGTACTTCTGTGCAGCTAGTTTACACAGTGTTATCTATGGCTGCTTCTCAGCACAAAAGCCTCACCACCACACATAATATCATTTGTGTATTACTGTTCCTGCATCTACTCAGCTTTTTATTTCAGTTGTTACAGCTGGAGTTCTTACTGTAGAGAGATCAATTCCTATATGGAGGTACAGACTTTTATTTTGAAACAGCTAATGTGATTATACAGTTCTTCCTATTATGTTTTCCTTTTTCAAAAAATAATCTGTACATAATCTGTTATACAAATTTGCAGAATTGGAGAAGTAAAAGAAAAATGGCTACTCAAAATTTATTTACATGTATTTTTTTTCTTGTTTTATTTTACACAAACATGCCTCTAAAAATAATTAGTGGTAATTGTTGGCCTCTCTGGATTTTTATTAGCACTATTCATGTGCAGCACTTCTTTAAGCTCAGTTTTTAAAACCTTGATATGTGATCACAGCCCATGGGCAAGACACCAAATATTTGAACTCTAAAGACATCAGCGTGGACATCAGGATATCTGGAATTTTTCATAGCGTGTTATTCAAATCATACAGCATGATATTATCAATCAAAGCTTTATTCGTCACATGCAGGTTGCCCTGCAGTGAAATAGGACCCCCCCCCCCCCCCCCCCCCCCCCGACCTTACACATATAGCACAAACATTACATAGGGATACAGGTCGGAGATTGGTAGAATCAGAGAAAAACATTGAAATGTACACTACACTGGGTACAAGAGGAAAAAAAGAGACCCCTACTCATGCTATGCTTCCATGGTAGGACAGCATGAGAACAGGAAACAAAAAAACTCCTCTGCACAGAAAGCACATAAATGTCCACAGCACAACATTGTGAAGACATGACAAGCCACAGGGTTGGGTGAGGGGTGAGGAGTAATCCGAAGCAAACACAGCAGCCGCCCTGCACAGCGCTACCATTCCAGCGCGGCACACAGACCCGCCGTGTTCCCTCGCAGGAAACAAGCATCGAAGGCGTTGGAAGGGGAGGGGGGATGAGTTAGTGCCTATCAGTGTAAGTGTATGTGTGTGCGTGTACATAATTCAGCGGAGACACAGTGTCCTTCGGCCAATCAGGCTAAGTAAACAGTCCTCCAGCTGATCCAGGTGTCCTTGCAGGGATGGGAAGAATAGTCATCACACAGTCGTTATCAGGGAGTTGTTTTGGTGGGCTCCAGCCTTGGGCCTATTAACGGCTAACCTCATGTTGTGAATGAATCAATCTCCAACCTTCCTTTTATACCCAAAATTTTTGAAAGAGTAGTTGTCAAACAGATAACTGATCATGTGCAGACGAATGGTTTATTTGAAGAGTTTTAGGTTTCAGACCTCATCACAGTACAGAAACAGTATTGCAGAAGGTTACAAATGAAGTTAATGCGTAAGTTCAATCAGGAAGATCAGTAGTCACACATCTGTCTGCTTTTTCGGTATTTGGTGGCTAATTATGCTTTACATCACTTACACTTTTCCATACTGTCAAGCTCATTGCTGACATCACTAATCCAATCACTTTCCTGCCCTTCTTCGGGCCAATCAGCCTCCACTCCACATACAGTCTCACTGGACATCAAACATTCTCCCTTGTGGAACCAACCTGCTACTCACTTCTCCCATACTGCTCATGCTCTATTTAAGCTTCCATCTTCATCTCCACCACTAACGTCTAGACTGGGGTCCTACCCTGATGGGCCATCGGTGATGGGTTTGTAGCATAAACCCATTCGCTGGAACGTTCAAGACAATTCAGTTACACAGCACAAAGCATTGAACACCAAGCAGAGCTCTTTATGATTCTCGTATACGAGGGAGACCAACTGGACAAACGCCGTTCCTTCACTTGACACCAGTTGCTCTCGTCTGCTCCCTTGCAACAATGCTCTTTTATTGAGGTTACATTAATATACATAGGTTCATTAACATATGACGTCTACATGCACACAAAGAGTACCTTGCCTGTGCGTTGTCTAAGTGTCTGTGTGTGTGTGTGTGTGTGTGTGTGTGTGTGTGGGGGGGGGGGGGGGGGGGGTCAGTGTGTGACCCCATAAACGACTTCCCTAAACCTGGAAGTCCAGCAGTTCATCTAAACAAAAGTTTAGATGAACTGCTATTTCATGTGTTTGCTATACCATATATCAGCAAGAAAAGATACGACCTCTTCCCATGACCCTAAGATTGTGAGTGTGCATGCCAGAACACTCTGGAACAGACTATTAAGGATCAAACCTCTACCAACATGATGTTGATTATACAACTCTAAGCATATATGAGTAGATATTTCTAAGCATAAATGACAATCAACAATACAAATCTAACAATTGGAGTCTAATTGCCAAAAAGTTTAATTAAATTCTATATATCAGTGAATCATGTTCAATTCCTTCTGTTGATATTTCCTTACTGAAATGATCTTCTTATGGCCTCTGACAGTGGACTCATCTCTGTGCTTGTCCTGCTAGACCTCAGTGCAGCGTTTGATACTGTCGACCATAATATCCTATTAGAGCGATTAGAACATGCTGTAGGTATTACAGGTGCTGTGCTGCAGTGGTTTGTATCATATCTATCTAATAGACTCCAACTTGTTTGTGTAAATGGAGAGTCCTCTTCACACACTGAGATTAATTATGGAGTTCCACAGGGTTCAGTGCTAGGACCACTTCTGTTTGTATTATACATGCTTCCCTTAGGCAGTAGTGATGGGATTTCCAGCTCTTTTTAGAGAACCGGCTCTTTCGGCTCCGAACCGGCTCTTCAGGTTGTTTTGTTGCTTTAATTAATTTATTATTAACAATAATATAGAATTATGCAGAAAAGGAATTACTAATGTAAAAAAAAAGTGGTTTTATTTATATATGTTTATATATAACTATGCGGTGGCCCCTAGAGACAAAACACGTACAAACTCTAAAACACATTTCTAGCATGAACTGAACTTCCAAAACAGAGCTACCTAGATCACTTAAATTACACAATTGAAAGCATGAAAGCATATGTGTATTGCTTGTGTATTTATACACAAGCACTCAACTTTCAACTTTTAACTATTTAAATTTTCAGCTTTTTCCTTTTAAAAAAAATTTAAAGTGAAACAACACAAAACACTGCAAACCACAACACAATTAAATATAAATTAAAATATGAAAACAAAAAGAAGATGCATATTCTCTGTCATATGGACCTGCATGAATAAACTTTCTGAATCCTTTATCATCTGCAACTGAAAATAGTTGTGGATGATTACTATACCTTTCTAATGTGACGTTGTTGTCCCTGACTCTCTTTCTCTCTCTCTCCCTCTGGCTCTATTCCTGTGCTACCAGCATAAAGCACAAGGCTCGTATGCGGAGTGAAGCGGGGGGGGAGTGCGAGAGAGAGAGAGGGTGAGAGAAAGAAAAAAAAAACACGGCTCGGGATAAGGAGCCGGCTCGCGTCGTTCACTTCAAAGATTCGGCTCTAAGAGCCATTTCGTTCGCGACCGACCCATCACTATTAGGCAGCATCATCAGAATGCATAGCATACATTTTCACTGCTTTGCAGATGACACAATCTTATCTATCCATGAAGCCAGATAACACAATTAGTTAAACAGCAGACCTGAGTGACCTCTAACCTTCTGCATCTAAATTCAGATAGAACTGAGGTTGTTGTACTCAGACCTAAAAATCTTAGAAATATGGTGTCTAACCAGATTCTTACTCTCGATGGCATTACCTTGGCCCCCAGTAACACTGTGAGGAACCTTGTAGTCCTTTATGACCAGGATATGTTCTTCAATACACATATTAAACAAATATGTAGGACTGTTAAATCCAGAATCAAATTTGAAATCACATAAAATGTCTTGAATAATCAGGCTCCATCTTATCTTAAAGGCCTTATAATACTATATCACCCCAAGAGCACTTTGCTCTCAGACTGCAGGCTTACGTGTGGTTCCTAGGATATTTAAAAGTAGAATGGCAGACCCTTCAGCTTCCAGGGTTCTTGTATTGAACCAGCTCCCAATTTGGATTTAGAAGACAGACACTATCTCTACTTTTAAGAACTGTCTTAAAAATTTATTTCTGATAAAGCACATAGTTAAGGCTGGATCAGGTGACCTTGAATCTTCCCCAGCAGGCTTAGGCTGCTAGGGGCTTCAAATGATGCACCGAGCATTTCTCCTTCTCTCACCTTGTTTCACTCATGTTTTTATTCACCTCTACATGTAAACATTAGTTGTTAATAATCTCTGGCTCTCTTCCACAGCATGTCTTTGTCCTGTCTTCCTCCCCTTACCACCGACTGATCTCAGAAGATGACAACCCCGCCCTGAGCCTGGCTCTGCAAAAGGTTTCTTCCTGTTAAAAGGGAGTTTTTCCTTCCCACTGTCGCTAAAGTGCTCACTCATATGATTGTTAGGGTTTTTTCTGTATTATTGTAAGGTCTTTACCCTACAATATAAAGTCCCTTGGGGCAACTGTTGTTGTGATTTGGCGCTGTATACAATTGAGTTGAATTGAATCAGCTCAGGTATTAAGGTGTTAAACTTTATTGTTTAACACTTCATGATTACTTCATGATCAGTGTGAATACAGAAGAAGAGTTTGGACTGGAAGACCCACTGTGGTTGAGCATCAGACACAACTCAAAACTATGCTAGAGAGCAGTTCACTTTCCATTGACCAGACTTTTCTGTGCATTAAATTATGAGGAATATATGGAGCTGAACACATCTCTGTGTATCACTCATGATGCACAGGCTTTGAATCACTTGTGGTTTCCTGTAAGGCAGACACCTGTTTCTGTGGCTGCTTTTATAATGTAGTCAACTACATACTAGACTATTTCAACATCACGCAAAAAAAGGAATCTTTCTGACATCACTGAGACTCAAAACAGGTAACAATTATTATGAAGATTTCACATTAAGAAAGTATCAAGTGTGAAGTGCTGATGGGACTGATGAAACCAACATGTGACAGAAGAAATTAAGAGGG